AATGTGTTCAAATTCCCTTCTGAATGTATTGCTATCAAATTTCCATTGTCAAGTCGTTCAAAGATGCGCGTAAAAGTGTGTGCGTATTCTGGGCGAAGATCATCAATGGTGACATTTTCAACTGTCAACTCAAATACAAAATTGGAGGTTTTTTGAAGTTGGAAGTTTGATGAAATGTTTGAAACAGTGACCTTACCAACTTTCTTTAAATCGCAGAATGTGAACTCGATGTTTTTCACGACTAACTGGAAACCAATTTTAACGCTATCTTTCGTATTAATTGTTTTGTCCTTAATAGACTTTAATGGAAGTGACAAATTGTTTGGTCTCAGACATTTTATCTTCTGAATCACGTTTCTTTCAAAATTGGATATCAACGAAGTGATGTATCCACGTACGAAAAGGATCTGCGAAGAATTAACAATACACCCGATCGTGTTTTCAAAATTGCAAGTGATATCACATTCTTCTATTTTGTGTTCGTCAATGTTCCACTGAATTGCCACATCCGTTTTGCCTGTTATTTTGTTGAGAAGTTCGTTGGCCACGTTATTTTCCTTTGAATCGACAGAACACTCTGAAATAGTCACTGTAACATTTTGGCATAAACAACTGTTGTTAAAGACATAAGAATTTTGAACCTCAAAATTTCCAAGTGACACGATCAATGCGTTCTGGAACAAGTCATCAGTTAGAATAATTTTAGGAGCTTCAATTGAGATGTTCGGATTAATAAGAGAAATGGCGTTCTTTGTTTTAAGTGCAAATTTTTTGACAACAGAAGTAACTCCAAGTGCAAGATTTTTATAGCCTTTAGAGAGCTCCCTTTGAACTTCTTCGGCATCAAACATCTCAACCACATCTCTTTGAAGTATTGCATTGACCACCTTCCCAACAAAATGTGGACTTGCTTCACATTGAATGGAATTGATCTTCATGTCGATATTGTGAACACCAATTTCTTCAATTTGAGAATGTAAAGTGTTTTGCATGATGGACTTAGAGTACTTGAACTCAATCAACTTTCTTTCGTTCCATAGTATTTCCTTTGTCGTTACATTGTTTTCCACATCATACATTTTGATATTCCCAACACTTAACACAACCGAACTATCATTTCCCGTTTTAACAGACACGTGAATTGATGATACAACACCGCTACACACATCGTTGAATCGTTCGTTTTGTATCGAAAGGTCTATCTCCCCAACATTAAAATCCATTTGAACTGTACCTTGGATGCTCCCGAATTTTCGGTGCCCCTTGTCTCCTTTTACAATTTTTGGCGATTTCAGTACAACACGAAGCTGTTGTTCCTTCTTTTGAGGGTCACGAGTGTCAGTTTTGAAAGAGACTAATGTCGACATGCAACTCCTCATTATACCACCAATTAAACGTCCGTTATAAACAGCACTTGCTTTTGAAACATCAAAATTCCCTTTTAAAGACTTTGCCTCCGTGTCGAGCAACACATCCCACTTCAAGCCATATTCCTTTCCTTTTATCGAGCAAATTTCCTTTTCGTTGGTGTCAATTTCGCCTTCGCAAATGCGCTTTCCCAACACTTCAAGTGCTTCAATACTTCCATTGAGTGTTGCTTCAGTGTCCTTTCCTAATATTTTAAGATGGACACCCTTCATTCTGGCAATAGTGACCATTGGGTTTGAAAGATCTTTGTCTTCAGAATAAGACACTTCGACCTCTTGGAGAAGCCCAGAAAAGCTGAGAAGATTCCGTTGTAATTTTTGAGAACTTTTTTGTTTAATTTCGACTGTGTCGTTGTCTTCATAATCATTGTGATCGTCTGGGAACACCAAGTCCCAACCGCTCATGTACTCTTCGACCATTTCTCTCATAAAATCAATTTTCTCCTTGTCGATATTCACTCGTAATGGCTCAAAAGTCGAGAAAATGTCAACCAAACATTTTGGTGGAATTGGTTGGTCTTTCTGGGCGGCCAAATTTGTGTTTTTGACTTTGTCTGTTTGTCCGACTGCGTTTATTTCATTTGTTGGGAACGAGAACATCAAATTACCAGACACCCCATCAACTAACTCGATAATTTTACCACTTTGTGTTTGGAGTTCAATTTTGAACTTTTTCCACGAGAATTTCGTGTTTTGATTTTCCGAAGTGTCCAATGGCTCCACACTAATTTCTCCCAATTTGACATTAACAAACGGCGTCACAACATTGTCGTGCATCAAAGGAAAACACAATGTTGGCGCTTCGACGTTTCCGTTAAGTGATATTTTCACTGTTTTTTCGTTTGCGATTTGAATGATTTCGTTTGTGGCCAAGTCGTACATTTTCCTCAACTGTTTGAGTGTGAATAACTTCAACAAAGTCGCATCCGCACTTTGCGGCAATTGTAGAAACTTTGCAATTTGCATGAGCAACACTTTGGTTATCACAACTTTTGTTTCTTTTACATTAAACTTGACATCGAGTGTATGTCCAACAATCGGTCTTGTGATATTCATTTCAAAGATATGTTCCTTTTGGTCAACTTTTTGTAACACATTTGGGTGTTTTGTGATGTTCTCGAGGACATCACATCCGTCGCATTGAATTTCGATGTTAAAGCCCTTTCCAAAGACTCTTCCTCCAAAATACACGCCACGCACATTCGCAGTGAAAACGTTCTCGATCTTCACAACGACATTTTCGACTCGAACAAATATACCAAACTTCTCTGATTGCAATGAAACGGCGTCGTTCTCTCTTTCAAAGTATTTGCAAATTTCTTCAAGTTGGTTCTTGTTCAATCCCTCCTTTTCCCAAAACGATCTCACCTGTTGTTTTGTTTTCGTGTGTTCTCTCATCGATTGGAACGCCGAATATCTCAATTTAATAATTTCATTCAAATTAAGTTGTATGTCCAAATCGACAAGTTCTTTAGGCTTTTGATTTCCTTTAAGTTTCCATTGGGAGTACAACGCGATATATTTTTCTTTCACTGAATTGACCAATTCTGTTCTTTCCGTTGTTGTTGTATTCTGCGCTTTTAGTATTTTAACTGCATTTACAACATATTTCCACCAAGCTTTCTTGTCTTGTTCGACTGTCGCTTTTGGTCTCAGTTGAATGAAGTTTTTTGTTTGTGAAAAGAATGCCAACTTCGACATCGAAATCATGAGGTGGTCGTACTGTTCCTTTGTTACGCAGACGATTGAGTTGTTATCAAGATCAATTGAAAATGTTACTCTTCCCGTTCCTTCCTCGATCAATGACACACTGACTGGACAGATTGGGAGGTTAAGTATATCTGATGCATTTCCATTGTATGTATGTGTAAGACTCAGATTTTCTATAATGAACTTCCTTGTTTTGTACCCCTTTTTCTTCTCATTTTTCTGTGCTGTTTGGAGTTTGTCGTCTTCGTATCGAATCGAATTTGCAGTGAGCGAAAACGCGCTATTTTCATCGGAAAAGGTGATGTTGATGTTCGTGATGAGAAGGTCGATCTTCTCAATCAACATTTTAACGTAAAACGCAAGCGATCCGCCCATTTCATTGTTCGCTATTTTCTCGATAGTCTCCTCAAATTTTTTAATAACGCGGATTTTAATCTCTTCTAAATCAACTTCCTTTGTTGACTCGACAAACGAGTTTTTAAGAGCGAGGTCGATGGTGACGCCATCGACCAAAGCAAATGCGGAGATTCCTCTAATGTCCGTCTTAATTGTAACCGTCTTAATTAAGTTCTCCTTTAGTGTGAATGGGACATTGAGTGTTTCTAAGAAGTCGTTTTTGATCGAGACGTTTGTCAAATAAACTTCTGTGAAGCTCGACTTGACGTTTTTGTCGCTCACATTAATGAAGTCCTTTAAAAATACTTTTAATAATTTGCCAAGAATAAAACCACTCATTTGTATGTGGTAGATTGGAGTGTTGTGAATTTTGGAGTTACAGTGAAGTTTTTGTTACGGACAAACAGATTAAATGACTTTCTTTTGAGATTTTTTTGACTGTTTTTCATTTCAAAAAAGAACAAAAGTGTGTTTTCCATAATAAATCATTTTTTGAATAATTTAATTATGGTTAAGTATAGTTTAATTGTATTATATGTATAGTTTCAAAAGAGGATTGTTTTTGTTGATAACAAATTTGGGAAATGAAAAATGTATTATTAAAAAGTAGTTTATTTGTGGTTTTCAATTAACATAAATAATTTAAATTATGAGTTGTTTATTTAAAGAAAATAAAATACAGTATAGTTAAACAACACTCGTTAATTTCGACCTTCTAAAATATATAAAATAAAAAAATAACAACTCGTTAATATAATTATAAATAAATAAAAAATGTTTGTTAAATAACTAAACCCAATCAATTTTTGACTTTCCATTTGTTTTCACAATACAAAGACGGACACCATTAAAGTCAACACAATAGAAACTTTCAGTGCACCATTCTTTGTTCCCACACACACTTTGCATTCGTTGTCAGTGCAAGGCAAAAGGTACTTTTCTTGACATTTCAAGCACTTTTTGTCTTGCAGGAAGTACTTTTCTGGACATGGGTTAACACACTCGCCGTCGTCTTCTTTTGGGAAGAATCCGTCTTCACAGACTTCACATGAATAAAAGTTCTCACATGTTTTACAGTGTTTATTGCACTTCCGACAGACCAAATTGTCGATAAAATAATTTGAAGGGCAGTACTTAACACAGTCTTCGGTGTCTTCTTGGTAGTAATAGGAGTCTTCACACAAGGCACAGACATCATAGTCATAACACTCGTCACAATGACTTTTGCACGCAGCGCACTTGATACCATTAAAGTAATACCCATCAACACATGTCCTGCACTCGTCTTGAGACACACACTCAGTGCATTTAGACATACACTTTTTGCACACATTGCCAAGAACAAAACTCCCTTTGGGACACTCACTGTCACACTTTGAAGTGTCTTCGATGTAGATGTAATTTGGTGAGCACTTTGTACACGAGCCTTTACTTTCACAAGTGTCACAATGCGCATCACAGTGTTTGTATATATCACCATCAAGGTAATACCCATCAGGACTGATGTTATAACACTTGTGAGTGTCTTCTGTGATATGGGAGTTGTCTGTACATTGCGCACAAATTTGTCCGTCACAATATTTACAATTAGGGTTGACTCTCTGACAGTAAGAAGTGTCTAAGTCACAATTATCATTCACTCCATCCAACGTGCCAGTCCCTTCTGGACACTCTTTACACTGACTTTCATCAACATTTGTAGTGTATTGTATTGTGGTGTCTATATACTCGTGAGAGTGGCAAAGCACTTTCACTACACTTCGCTCAGCAAATTTAGTGTCGTTGTAACTCCGAGGCACAAAAATGGTCGTTCCGGCACTCACACTGTTTGACACCCACGCCCGCACGTCCTCGTCGCCGTGATAGAAGATGAAAGTGAGGGTTTCGCCAAAGGCACTCTCCCCAAGTGACACCATTTGACCCAAATGGATTTCCTTCAATTTGTCGCACCCACTAAACGCAGAAGTCTGCACTGTTTTGAGACTCTCAGTGTTAATAAGACTCTCCAAATTGGAAGAGTCGTAAAAGGCGTATTCCCCAATAGAAGTGACATTCGTGATATCCACAGTGAGTAAATTGAGGCAGTTATAAAACGCGTAGTTGCCAATTAGTGTCCCATTCACATTCCCGTCAAAACTGACGTTCACAAGACCACTACTTTGAAAGGCGTAGTTGCCAATTTGAGTCAACTGATTACCAAAAGTGATGTGGGAGAGTAAGTTGGTACCATAAAACCCATTCTCGCCAATTGTCTTTAAATTTGGTGTATTCAATACACTCTGAAGTTGCTTACAATTCGCAAAAGCACTAAGTGGAATATCCTCGACACCATCTAAGTCAATTGTTGTGATTTTAGTCCCAAAAAATGAATTGGTACCCAACTGCTTGATGCCATTGGACGCTACAAAACTCGACAAGAGTGACGATCTGAAAGCTTCATTCCCAACAATCACCCTTTTAGTCACATTAAAGATGATACTTGTGATCTTCTTGTTGTTGTAGAAAGCACGAGAAGCTATACAGTTCGAGTCATTAATATAAAACTCACCAGAACATGTGGAATTGATATTAAACACACAGCCAGTGCCGTCGAGGCTATAACACTCGTTACAAGTTGCCAGTTTAATATTTGAAAATAGAAGAAAAAGTGGAAATAAAGGCATCTATGGAGTCTCTTATCTATTAGACTTTTTCTAGATATTTATTGTTATTGTTGATGTATTATTGTAATAATATTTTAAGTAATTTATTAATTTAAATTATTAATAAATTTATTCTTTCCAAACAAAAACCACAAAAACGATTTTTGAACAATGTCGTATTGTTTGATTTTTATTATAAACAATGTTTTTGTTATGATTAAATTATTTTCGATCAAAAATTGGTTAACTATATTATATAGTTAAAATTTATAAAAAATGTAAAAATTAGAATTAAAATTTTAATTTGTTTATATTGAAAAAATCAAAAAAAATCAACCAAATTTATTACTTATTTTTTTCAAAACTTAAAAGTGTTATAACAGAAACATATATAATAAATAAATAATTATTTATACTATATAATTGACACAATAATTGATAAATTATATATTTGAAACATATTTACTATATTCTATTAATAAATTAAATAATAATTAATAAATATAAAAAAACTATATTCTAAATAATATTTATACATAATCTATTAAAATTTTATAAGAAATAAATACTAAAACAATTAAATTATAATTTATTATTAATTAATTAATCAATTATAGTCACCCGCTAAAAGCAATAAAAACACGACAAATGGTCTAAAGAAACTATAATTTATTATTTTAAACTATAATTGTAAAAAACAGTGAAAATAACACAAATAACATTAAAAAAACAAAAAACAAAAAAATCACATTAAATCAATTTTTGTCAAGCCTTTTAATTGGTTTAAAAGATAAAGGCAATCAATTAATACATGACACTTTGGGGTGTTTTGTCAATCCAGTTGACTATGACAGCTTGTTTAAAAGCAATAATATTAAAAAGAGGTGTTGTAACCACAAATAAAGAATCCACCAATATCATTAACTATTAGTCTGTTTCCGAGTTCAATATTGTGAAAAAATGTTTTTTCTAAAACAAATTACCATCCACATTTTCCTTCTCGACTTCTTCTTGAAAAAGCAAATTTACAAAACCGTCTTTCGCTTTAAAAGAAGACATTCTACTTTTAAGCCCACCAAATATCCCCAAATCAAGAACTTGAAGAAAATGAGAAGCATACGGAGTTAAGCTAACAAAGGTTATGTTATTTTGAGTGAGCAACACAATGAATCTGATACATCTAAAGAATTGGTTGAATTGTCGAAACCCATCCCAGTTGCAGGTTTGGTTTTTTGGTATTGTCCAAATAAATGCACATGTACGGCATTATCCATTAAAATTGATTTTCAGTTCACCTTTAAACTATTTTTGACAATGTATTATAATTTAGTAAAATTTTAGTTTATTTTGAAATACTTTCGATATAAAGAAATTAATGTCAAATTGAAACACAATCTAAAATCATAATTTCAAAAAACTATAATATGGTTTCTTTAGACCATTTGTCGGAAATTTATACCTTTTAGCGGGTGACTATATTTTTTTTTCTTTACACTTGATGTAGTAATACTTTGTATATAAACGAGTTAATATAATTAATAAAACTACTAAATTGAAAGCCCATTAAAAACCATAAAAATAGTCTTCTTGACTGCTTTCTGATTGAAAAATCAAAGGGGGGAAGTCATCTAATAAGTCTCTCAAACGATCGAATTGATTGCGCAGCTTTGTGCACATTTTTAGTGGTGTTTGGCACTGAAGAATTGTGAGAAGTATCATTTGTAATTCGTCAGTTGATGGACAAGGAAGCACATAATTTTGTTCTTCTATGTAGTTAATGATGTATGTTGCAGCAAGTGCCGCAACACGTTTTGTTGTGTGATATGTTGGATCAGAATAAACACAATAGCCTTCGCCAGAAGACAGAACAAAATCGATGAATTTGATTTTGACGCAATTATTGTCCATCTTGTTGAGGAGGTGATAGTACTGTGCTGAAAGTTCATCATCGAAACCTTTTAAACAGTCGGCAACATCTTCGACAGCCAAATAAAGAACGTTAAGACCAAGGGCGCTCAGTTTTGGGATTTCAAGTGTTGGGTCAAGTCCAACAGAAATGAGTGTTGAAAACTCGGACAACAACTCGTCAACATTTTCAGGTGTCACATCATTCAACGCCTGTAAACTTTGAGTTGTGTCTTCTTCAGAAACATGATTAGGTGTTAATTGCAAGTCTGTGTCGTGTCTTGTGTGTTTATTTTCAGTGGAAACACGATTGGGAGATGGGGGAGAGTCGACATAGAACACAGACTGTGTATTCATTGTTTGTTCATGAGTCTACCAACACAATTAATAAAAAGTAAATAATATAGTATAAAAACTATATAGAATAGTTTTGACAATATCTTGAGTTTTAGTAATAAAAAAGTATTATCGACCTTGTTTTGTTTTTTATATATCAACATAATATTAATTTATTATATAACAAACTATTGATTACAATATATTGTTATAGTATATTTATAATTTTTACAAGGTAATATAAAGTTATACAATACAAAAATTTTATAGATTAGTAATAGTTTAAAAACGAATTGACATTAAATTAAGCTTTTAACTTTTCTTTTAATAAATTAAATAATAAATTAATAAGCGTCGAATTTTTTCAGTTCAAAATTTCAGTCAATCTAAATATCATCATTCTTCATTTCAATCTTTCATTCGGCATTTTCCTTCAATTCTTTGTAGAATGACTTTGTTGTCCATTCTAGCGGGGTCACGTCTCCACTTTTAGTCTCGCAAAAAGACACTTTAAGTGGTAGAGTACCTTTTGGTGTTAATTTTGGTGTACCATTTCTTTGCACATCTGGTGTCTTCGATAACTCTCGAATTTTAACAGCAACAGCGACTCTAGGGGAGTTCAAGTCAGTGTTAGAGATACTTTTTCTCTTATTGAATTCCATTGAAATGGACTTATGCGCCAACTTAGAGACATGTTTGTCACCCTTTCGAGTCAAGTCGTCGGAGATCATCTTCTCGAGTTTTTGCGCGAACAACAGCGTCGCGTTTTTAGCGCCAAAGAATTCCGTTTTCAATTGCTGGGGGATGTCAACTAAAATTTTCTCTTCGACGTGTTCGCCACTTGCCTCGACTCTTTTCAGCTCGATCTCTTTGTTCCGAAATAGTGAGATGAATAACATGACTGGGACGTCGTCGTTACACAACATAATTTCTTCTGCAGAAATGATCTTTGGGATCTTTAACTCTTTCGACCGTTTCAAGCAAAGTTTGATCCGCTTGAGCTTAGGAAGTGTTTTCCAGTCATTCATTTGAACACCCTCTTTCTCTAGTAACTCACATAATAAGGTGCCATCTCTCCACTCCGATTGAATTTTGTTGGACAAAAGCCACTTGTTCACTTCGGCACAGTGCTGTGTTAATAATTCCCCAATTGAAGACGTCGTAAAAGCAGAGTTGTTTAAACACTTATTTACAACTTCTGGTGTAATGTCCTTGATATCCTCAACAGGATCTCCTGGAAGTAGAGTGTTACACAGGCGAATTAAAACAGCATAACGAGTCGTCAACATCGGATAAAGGTTTTTGTTTTGAAAGATAAATTGTTTTATAGTGCCGATTGAAGAAAGTTGTTTTGTAACAAATTCACATTTGCAATCAACTTTACTAATGTTAGTGTGTAATTCTTAACACAATATGATCATCAAGTATTATATTTAAATAGGTATAAAACTATATTTTTATAGTAAACAATTAGTTAAGAAAAATGCAACAAAATGAGAAAAGAACATCACAACTGTTTTTATTGAGTCAAATAAATAAGACTAAAATTATTTTCTTGAGTTATTCAATTCTGATTATAACACACAACACTACTTATAACCTTATAAAGTGGAAAGTCAATTTGGTATATAAAACAATAAAGTTTTGTTTGTTTTGGGTTAAAAAAAACTTTCCGTCTTTTAACCACTTGATACAACAAAAAAATAACACTTAAAGTAAAGTCTTATTTAAAATATATCAAATAAGAACTTTTTTCAAATGTTTTTATTTCGATGTTATGTAAATAGATGGGTAATTAAGTTAATAACAGAATTATTGAAACTAAAAAATCTTAGTTATGGAAATCAATGCTAATTATTGTATTCTTTTGTTGACTTTATCATCCAATTTATTATAATCTTTTTTTTATTAAATTATTCTAATAAATTACTATATACATTCAGTTGTTCTTTTTTTTATTGTATTTTGATACTAATTTATACTATTTAAAATAAGACCAATAAACAACCAAAGAAATGCGAGAATTAACAATAAGTTCACTTGTAAAATGTATGAATAAAAAACACAACTCAAATGATCAAAAATGGACTGTTTTTAAATTATGAAACAATGAAAAAAATTATTTAAAAAGACCTTCAAAAGAAACTCAAAAATGAATAGGAAGAGTAATGGTAAGTCGACTTGAGATGGTCTTTTTAGCGAACGTAGTGTTGAAATTGACGAATTATATCGACATCCACAATTTCATTCTTGTCAGTCATAACTGTTATGAGTCAGTTAAGTCACTTAAGACAACGCCTAAGTTATCCAGTGCAATAGATCTCTCTTGGTTCCTTTCACATTTTTATTTGGACACAGTGGATTTCGATGAAGTTCAAATTCCCGTTGAGAAGTACATTTCCTCTGTTCAATGCATAAGAAATCCTAACTTTTTAGAAGACGCAATTGCAGGGAAACTAACTCAAAGTTACGCAGACACCATTTTCCCAAAGGTTGTGAGTCTTTCTCTCTTATATCCAGTGTATGAAAAAGACGACCCGTGCAACAATTTAATCATCTCAAACTCTAAGAAATTCATGTCGTTGAGGAGACTCTCTGGAGACTTAGAACAGATCTCGTTGTTCTTGAAGAACCTCACAGACAACGGCGAGGCAATTGGAACAAAGTACCCCAATCTTATTGTCATTGATAGTTACTTGGAGTCCACAATCGTCTTAAACGAGACGACACTCAATCTTTTGAGAAGTGTCGAACTCTATTTGAAAAAGTCGTACAACGAGAAGGTGTGTTACGTTGTCGCCGAAGTTCCTGAAGACAGAAGTTTAATCGACTTTGTCAAGAAAGGGAAATTTTACTGCAAAAACGCCGGGTCTGTGATGTGTAATAAAGACGACATTTTCGGGGTTTGTGGCGACTTTGAGCTTTCAGGAGAAGTCGAGAGAAAAGGAGAGGACCTCAAAATTTTGAATGAAAGAATCGGCGCCAATTTGGACGCAGCATCTGCATTCTCCTTAACTCACAAATATATGTCAAATACTGAATATTCACTGGAACTTCCAGACAGTGTTCGTGAATACAACATTTGTGTTTCTTCTCTTCCAGAATTGGTGGATGCGAACTATTTTAAATATCCAATTAATTTCAACAAAATTGAGGTCTTAAAGTTAGTTTCAGTCTCGAATGTGTCATTGGAAGTCACTAACGCTCTGAATTGTCTTGAGCTCAAGTCATGTGATTTTTGCGTTTTCACGAACGACGAGGACTCTCTCATTGCGATCGAAGAGATCTTTGTCGAAGACAGTAAGCATATTCGCTTTTTGACACATTCCGAGGCCATTGTCGAGAATGTGCACCTCTTCTCGGATACTGAAATTGACTTCAATTGGTCCATTAAAAACACCGAAAATGTAGAAATAGTGGAAAGCAGGAATGTTGGCTTTGTAGGTGGCATTTTCAGTGCGTCGTGTATCTTTCATGTTGAGAGAAGTACGGACACGGTGATAAAAAATGGTGAACAAATTGCTTCGTATATCAAGGAAGTGAATGTGGCGAATTTTGTCATTGGAAACACGGGGGAGACAAAGAGCTGCGTTCTTGCGAACAAACACTTTGTATGTCATTCAGTCGATTATTTGATTAATAATCACTTCAGTTGCTACAACGAAGTCACAGAGAACGTCAGAAGCTTTCGACCCGAACGCATAGTGTTATTCACGATCAATAACTTTAATGAAACCAGTGCAAAAGTCCCGTACTTTGAAGTCAAAGAGAAGGGGTGTATGTTGAGTCTCGGGTTGTACGATACGAAAGGAAGTGCACTCACAAATAGCACATACCCTATACACGTTGGATGGGAAAATGGATCACTTGGAATACACACCGATGATTGGTGTCTCTACGGGTTGGATATTGGGGGTGAAGGAGAAAACGTGAATGTTGCGTTCGACAAGTTTGAGAGTTGTGAGTGTGTGATTGGATGTGGGTACAACAACACAAGGAAAGAAGTCTTTTTCACGTTGAATGGAAAAATAGTCAAAAAGATTGAAATTCCATGGAAGAATATCGGCGCCGCGTTTGCTGTGCAAAGGCTTGGAACGCTGTTTGTCAATACAGGAGATCAGAAGTTCACGTTTGATATCGAAAATTACAAATAGTCTTTTATTCAGTTATATTGTTGGTGTTTGATATAAGATCGTTTGAAAGGTGGTAGACAAAGAGTATCGTTGTTGCATTGTGAAGAAGATGAATATCACAGAAAACTTTAATGTTGTCCCATCATCAAGATATGTCAACCATAGAATTCAAATAATAAATAAAACTATAAAATAACTATAAACAACTTACATAAAAACTATACACTAATATCACATCCACACCACTCCTTTGAACTGTCCTGTGCACAGAAGTACCGACACTCCTCTGCACTTTGCTCACAATATGCAACATTTTTGTCATACACACTTTTGCAATCACAGCACCCAACTACACAACACGGATAATAGAAAAGGTTGAGTTCACAACATTTACAACACAACAAGGAGTTACATGGACAACACATTTTCTCGTCACAATACCCACACATCCATATATAATCGAACATCTTTTTGTACCGAACTGTATCCCCACAAAACCCACACGTCATTACACCACAACACGTTCCATACACGCTTCTTACTGAAAGACAATGAAGACAATAAGTGTCATATGGATTACAACACAGTTTACTTATTTTTTGTAAAGGCACGACAACCCACGTTGTTAGAAAGAAGCAACTTTCATCACAACATCTTGTGATGCAGTCGCAACAGTTCACGAATCCCGCATTTTCGCAATTGGTGTGTTTGTAATTACAACACAGAATCACTCGACACGGTACACAACAAAGGGGCGTGTAACATGGACATTTACATTCCTCGTCATAAAAGTCGAAGTCCAAACATTTGCAATAACACAAGCACTCACATAGCGTGTCAGACACACACCCGGCGTTCAAGCACCACCTCAGAAAAGTTCCGTCTTTCACATTCTGAATGAGTTGGTCGAAGTTACACAGAAAGTTGAAGATGAAGTGAAAGAATAGATAGACGTTCTTCAAACAACTCGAGAAATATGACTCGTGTGGTTGAATAGTGTTGACATCTGTTTCAACGTCTTCAGCATTGAGAGGCGGACCGTGTGTAATAGGAATAGATTCTAATGGTGGATATAATGTCGTCGATGAAGTGTCATCGTCCATCACAGAATTGTCTTTCGTAGTTACTATTGAGTATTTTGTTTACATTCGTTTTGGTAATTATAGTCACTATTTTTCTAAATGTCATAATTGTTGCCTTTTAAATAGACTATTTTAACACTTAAAAAAACATCGTTTTTTTCTTTAAAAAATGTTTTTGCTTTAAAAATGTTTTAAAAAAATTACGTTTTACAATATAATTTCACTCATTCAAAAAAAGAGGGAAAATGTGTATTGTAATACACACGAAAAAACCCGATAAACAAACAAATATTTAAGTAACATAATTGTATTTTGCTTTCCGATTTTAAGTCTCACTAAGCAATTCACAATTGGAGTTAAAATATCAAAAAAACAACGCTATCGTCAAAAAGTATCACATATAAACAACGTCTCATTATAAACAAACCGGAGAATAGTCGCTTAGAAATCGACGTTAACTCGTTGTTTTCTTCAATTTCTAACACATGGACATCATCGGTTATTTTTTTTCTTATCTAAAGTCGTATAAAAGTAATTCAAACTTTGTCATGATAACGTAAAAGATATCTCTCACAAAGAACGCTATTTTTTTGCGAAACAACATACAAAAGTACAACAAGGAGTTAAACATAATTTGTGTTTGGTTCATCTTTTTTTCTCTTCGAATTTTTGAATCGACTTTTGTGTTATTTGTGTGATGAATGTGTCTTTTATTTCACCGCGACCTCATAAATACATCGCAACACCGTTTTTTTTACATCATCGTTCTGCGAGTCCACTAAAGGCAAAAATACTTCCAAACAAAGCGACAACGCACTTTTACATTTACCATCATTTTTTTATTTTTTAATCGGTTTCTTTTTATTAGTTTGATTTTTAGTTTAAAAACTAATAGATACTATTTTTATTATTTAACAAATAAAAAATTTCAACAAAGAACGTGTTATAAATACTCAACAGCACCATTACATGCAATCAACATATGGGTGGAAAACTGATTTTTAACTCAAGTTTACATTTTCTAAAATTTAATATTTTTCATTGACTGTTCTTACTACAAATTGCAATGTAATTAATACTGATTTTGTTGAAACATGATAAGTTCAATAAGTGGTGTTAACAAGTCCGTTTGATGATTTTGGAAAATAAAACAGAATAATAAAGGTTTAACAAGACATTGTGAATCAACAACAAACCATTTTAACACGTAAAAGCTTTGTTTATTTCTTGTATTTCTCTGCACTTGGTAAATAATTGATTATTTTGATGATTTATTTATATAGTTTGTTTTACTATATTTATAATATTAAAAAATAAGTGGTCAATTCCCGAAATATTAAAAGAGTATTTATATACACTTTTAACAGGAAGTGTTTTTTGAAGTGTTAATGGAATTTATATTAGTATGAAAATTTGACATTTTGGTGTTCTTTCATTTGAAATTACAATTTAATTGTTATATAAATGGTTATAGTGAATTGAATTATTTAAATAGGTTTATAAATTAAAAATTTATTAATAATTGGATTATAGAATAATTTTTTTAATTGGCAAAAATGTGATTATAAACTATAATTTATAATAAAATTAACAATAAAAAGTTTGTATTATCATTTTTTAGACTTTAATGCCGTTTTAAAGTCTAACAACTTCCAAAACAAATAATCTCAACTCAAATTAATAGTTTAGAAAATAAATAATAATTCATATCAAAAGAAAAACAATAAAATGATAAAAATAAAACCATTGTGTTCTTTGTATAACAAAAAAATAAAAAATAAAATGTTTTTTGAATAATAAAAAAATTTGTGTTTTATTGTAAAACATCATTATTAACCACATTAAATACTTTTTAATTTTTTTATGGTTTGAATTAATGAAACTATTTGTATATTATAATTATACAAGTAATAAACCATTACTTTTTTTATTATAATTATAATTAATATAATAATTACCAATGAAAAACCATTAGTAGTAATAAAAGAACATTAGACAAAGAAAACATTGAACGACTTATTGACAAATATCTTAGGCATAAAAAGTGTAAGACAGTAGAAAAATAATTAAAATTTCGAATAACCTGAAAAATATGTCAAAATTATTTTCAACACAATTTGCAAAAATGTTCTTCATTTCCTTTGGCATACTAATAATAATTAAAACATGAATTATTTAATTTAAACAATCGAGAGATTTACTCAAACAAAATATTCTCCTTGGGATACTCCGAATAAAATAGAAAAAATTTATATAACAAACCATTTTGTATAATAAAAAAGTAGAAAGAAACCAACAAAGAAACTTCAATTGTAAGATGCAAAGACTGGAGCAATACTACTTGGATTATATCGCAGTAGTAACTCCATCGGAATTGCCCACATTAGAACGACTGATGACAACAAATTCGACACTCCATTTACAGCCTGTCATCATCGATCAGTTTTTTAAAGTCTTTGAACAAGGCGATTTACTCCGCCAACCATTTGCGAGTGTTGTCTTTCAAGCGATGTGTATTGTAGTCGACGAGTTCTTCCAGACAACAAAACATCGATTTGAACGGGAATCCTTTTGTGTGGTGTTTTGGAAGTACTACGCCGAATTAATGAACAACAACATTGTAGTCGACACCGACGACAGTGAAGAGTCAATTGATACAAATAACACTATGGTACTCCAATACATGTATAACTTGGCTATGGTTCTTTGCCCAGCAGTGACCCTTCCAATCACCTCAGACTTCTTTGTGATGAATTTCAAAGAGAGTGAGATATCACTGAAACTCTTACCGATCCTCAGAGCAGTCACAAAAAGTCTCCAAACAAAAATGGTGTTAAAAGTTGCGTTAAGTGGCAACATGAAAAACGTCATTGAGAACACTGTAAGGACTTTAGCAGATACCAAACCAAGTTTGGGGTGTTACAGAGTGCTTGAGGAATACATCAAGACTGTCTTCAGTGTCTGTAACCTTGCACCTAAAGTCATCAACGTCTTTTCAAACGCTCTGCTCTTCGAGGCAATCACCACTTTTTTAATGAAGAAAGTGGTCGAGACAAAGGAAATAGGTGAACTCACCATTTCCATCATAAACACATTGCAAGCTCTCTCGTTCATAGGTGATGGGATTGTCGCAGAGGGTACAAAGGACGTCCAGAAAATGTCGAACAACCCGATCGTTAAGAACGTGAGTACCCCCTCATGTTTGATGAAGTTGCTTGAGAATCAAAGAACAACACAACCGGCCTTAGAAGCACTCAAAGTCGTCTTATTTAACAATCCGTACAACTTCCTCTTTCTCCCAACATACATTGAAACGATGTGTCTGATGCTCCCAAACTTCGATGAAAAGTGTGTAGCGAGTGTCTTAGAAATGGTCGAATATTTGATGTGTTCTGTGGAGTACGACACGAAGAGAGTCCTCAATGTCTTACGCACTTTGGTCAACTCCACAAATATGAAAGAAAGTAGTGTGATGGTTCCTCTCGTCGACTTCATCTTGCGAGTCATTGGAAGTCATCGAGGAAAGTTACAAGAGGCTTTTGGGCTCTTTGTAGGTCCCATGATCGATGTTATCATCTGCTCCAGTAAATCTGCACAAAACACAAGTGAATATGTCGTCGAGCACATGAGCAAGTGTATATGTGCGATCATCTCTGGATGTCGAGAGAACACTTCTTTGTTTACAGAGGAAAGTAGTCGGATTCGACTAGTCTCGAATATCTATATGAGTGTGGTTTGGCTGAGGAAGTACATCACTGATTTTTTAGTCGAAATTCTACCTATCATCCCCGCAGATCAATGTGCACTGATCACTTCATTATTCATTGGAGACTTGTGGTGTGACATCGACCCATTAAGTCGAATAGAGTCTGCTTCTCGAATAGTCTCCGTCTCTCCCGTTGTACAAGAGACTTTTGGTGTCTGCGAATGCTTTCAGATACTCGGGAAATACATCCATGAGTGGGGATACGACAAATCACTGCAAAATGTTCGCGAGAAGACCATCTCTGAACGTGTTAAAATAGTGATGTCATGTGTGAATATGTACGTCGCAGCATTAGATGGGTCGGTCGCAAATAGACAACGCCTTCATGAAGAAGTGTCAGTTGGATTGATCGATACCTTTCTCTCATACTTTCCACTGAACCACGAAGACAGTTTAAAACTGGGGTCTTGCATCATCGCGTTGATCTGTGAGAGAAGTGTCGAGACATGCAAAGATGTTTTTACTCGGGAAATCAGTGTTCAAGCGGTCAACACGTATTTACTCCCGACCGTCATCAGATACTCCAAAAGACTCGACGAGTCCGAGTGGAAATTTTTGCTCAGAAACATCTACATATTCATGTCTTCTGTGTCTTCCCTCCACGATGCGTTTATAATGGGCATTGTAGACATCCTTACCACAAGCTATTCCTGTGATTCTGAAGTTATGGATTTGGTCACTCTAATAGGGAAATACAGTATAAAGCCGTCGACATTGAAACGGATATTGAAGAAGCTTGGGAACAAAAGTGACCAAGACGAGAAGATCTATGAAAGTCTCCAAATCATATCGACGGGAGAGAACGTCGGCGGTGTCACCATTGACACTAAAGAGGGTCTTTCATATATTAAGAAGTCGGTATGGATTGACGGCAATGAGGTGAGCATCATTGGATGGTTCAAAGTGAGTCTTGGCGATTACAAGATCCTTGCCATCAAGCGCAATTTGTTTGGTAATTCAGTCGACAAAGAGACGGTAATCGAGCTTAAGATGAGAAATGGGAAGCTTGAAGTGAATTACGAGGGGCAGTGCGTGATGTCGAAACGAGTCGAGTACGACACGTGGCACCATCTTGGTGTTGTGATGAATGACTTTTTGACTCTATACATCGATGGTACTTCCGAGCTGAGACGCACACGAAATGTCATTATCTTAGAAGGCAACAGTGAAGTGATAGTTGGGCATGAAGGGTCACCAACACATCGGTATGTTTATAGTGTTGGTGACATTATGATAGTCAACGGTAACATAGAAACATTGATTCCCGAAATAGTGAAGAGGGGTATAAATTATAGAGGAAGATTCTGTAGTGAGAGTGAGATATATATAGACCCGACGAGTGTGGTGTATTCACTGAATGACATCATGTCTGAGTGTAGTCGAAGTGATGTCACTATAGAAGGCATTGTCAATCAAACTTCTCCAATGCCATTTTCTATGAGTATTAATATGCTTGGAGGGGTCGCTTTATTACTGTATTTGGTCGAGTACTCGAAGACACAGAAAGCACTTGAAAACAGTCTCAAAATTCTGTTGAACACCATTTTGACGTCGAAGGAAATACAAGAGCAAATCATAAGTAAAAAGGTGATCAGTGTGTTGGGGTGTGTTTTACTTGAAAAGCGAGAACTCCTCAATGTCGTAATTGTCGATGAATTTCTCGACTTTGTGACACACAATAACACCAAATTACGACTGGGGGAAATAGCACAGTCGATAGTTCAGTTCATTTTACTTAACTTTGATATCTTGAAGGGGAACGTTGCTCTGTTAATCCACATCTTTTCTGTGGTAAAGATCGAAATCAAAAAGACGAGTTTGAAGCAGAAAAGTTGTTTTGTGAACTTATTTATTAAAGGAGGGATTGTGGGTAAATTAATGGCACTCTTCATCGATGACAAAGTCGGCAACGAAGTCATCGAAGAGTCAACTTGGCTGTTAGAAGAAATTTTGGGCTTAGACGCTTCGTATGAAAAACTGAACGACTTGGCTTCCTTTTTAATGTACTTTTTGAGAGTCTTTGATGAGTCGAATAAAGTACTTGACTTTCTTCGACAGAGTGATGATGGGAGTAAAGGAGAATGTTATACAAAGCATGAGGAGAGTCCATTAGGAAAAGGTGAAGAAACAACATTGATAACTGGGGGTGTAGAAATTATGCAAATCAACGACTATGTCAGTGAAGAAAACACGAAGGAAATTTTGAAGGACAACTTGACTCCTCAAAAGTCACCAACACAACTACAAGAGGAAAGTGCTCAAAAGAAATTTACGACTCTAACAGCACCACAAAGCCCTATTAACCCTCTTGAATTAACAGAAGAAGACTTTAAGTCACCACAACTGTTGGATTTGGAAAACACTTCTGTGTCGCCAGAAACAAGAAACTACTTGTTTTGTGTCCACCGATGTTCTAAAGTCCTTTCCCTCTTAGACGCTATTACTATTTCCAAGGGAAACATTCTGAACATCACGTCAGACTTCTTGTGCAAATTTCTGTCACTTCCAAGACTCCCTTTGCCTCTCTTCTCTGCTCTGTTACATCTGACCGCAACACTCTCATTCACATCACAGAGCTTTTGTGCAGAGTTTTCTAATAAGGCGGATGTCCTCAAAAGACACTCCCGTATCTTCTTGAAAAGGAAAGACGCGATAGACTCTGTGCTGTCGTTGTTACTTCACATCCCACCAGCGGGCAAAAACCATATCCAAATATCTGATGAAGACCACCCAATCCATTTCTCAGTCACTTTAAAACACTTTTCAGTGTTAATGTCAATCATTCAAGCTTCACTTGTCTCTGAAATTAAACAAAGCGAATATGACAATGTGATATACACCGTCTCTATGTTGTCTATAGTCTTACATCAATACCAGACGCTGCGAAGTGCAATCTTAGACTCCGACGAGGCGGTAGAAAGTTTATTGAAGTGTGTAGTACTTCCGAATGGGGACTTTGTAGGCAAGAACGTCATGAAACAAGAACAAAGAGACGTGCTCCGTGATATGATTAAGACCATTGGATACTTCATTTCAATGTCGATTAAAGAAGGTGGCGACTTCCGCAAAGTCTTTATAGATTCTGCGAATATCCAAAGTAGTGGCGACTTACTCCGGGAGCTCTTCACTGTCACGGCACTTAAGTTACAGTCGTTAGTTAACAAGTTAGGGAAGGAGAAAGTGTCTCTCTGTTACATCGAGTACTGCACGTTCTTGATGGATGTGATGCTCTGTGGCAATTGGGGAGTCGACATTTCTTTTGTCGAACGAAGTATCACTATATTGAGTGGAGTCTATGTCGAGCGCAAAGAGTATCAAAGTAAAGACAATGACTTAATGTGGGTGCAAGTAATGGATCGCTTCAGAATACTTCTGTTAAGTTCTACAGAAGACAAGAATTTAGTGTCGGTCATCCACCATCTGCACAGTCAAAATTACTTCAGCAAAAAGACTCAAAGTGAGACGTGCGTGTCGTCGATCTTTGGAATTTTGTTGATGAAGTATCGGGGGTGTCGGGATAAAGCACTTCGAGAGACATACATTGTCATCATTAAAATAGTTGTGATGGAATACACCGACATTTTAATGAAACTATTACCGAGCGGAGAGTTGAGGAAAAGCTTCAAAAAGATGTTACAACAAAGCACTGAGGAGATCGACGAGTTCTTTAATAAATACGACCAAGACATTCAAAGCGTTATCGACACGTTTTGGAGGGATCTGAGGATGTTCCGCATTCAACAAGAAGCTCGCATGAATGAAGTTCTGACTCGTGTGAAGCGTCGCAATAAAGAGAAGAAGGATCGAGACGAACGGCAAGAGAATTTGGAGAAGAAGAGCGAAATAGTTCGACGTCGAGAGAGAGCAATTACTGTGTATTTGAGCGAACAAAAAGACGAGAAAGCACAAGAGGAAATTGACAAAGGCGAAATTCAAATGAGGAAAAGGACCATCGAAAAGTTTGTTAAAATGCCCGGCGGAGTCTTTGAAGAAGAAGTTAAGAGGTATTGTGTCAGTGACAGGTTCAATGCGATGTTCATGCGCAACGAAATCGTGGTCGACTACAATTACACGACAAAGTACACCACAAAAAGGACTGATTTTGGTGAGGAAATAACAATTCAAGAACAAACACGAATTGGAAGGGATGACAAAATTACTCTTCGTGGCGAAGACATGTTTGAGAGTAAACGAATTGATGGCGTCGATGAGATACCAAGTGTCGTGTACATCACAAACGACTTAATAAAAGTGTTAGGATTAGTGCCGAAAAAGGGGTGTGTTGAGGAATACAAATTGACGGACATTTTAATGATCTTAAAGCGAAGATATTTGCTGGAGAACAAAGGCGTTGAAATTGTGATGAAGGATGGGCGGTGTGTGTTACTAGCGTTTGAGAAGAACTATGACAAATTCCTCAAAAGTCTCTATAAAGTTCATTTGATATCTCTTGAGCAATACATTTCAGACCAAATATCGACTCGAGTCGTCATCCAACACCAAAACACACAAATTCTGCTGAATGACAATAAAGAAGAACAAACAGAAGCGAAAGACACACTTGAAGATGAAAAGCAGCCACTCCAACAAGTCAAAATAGTGAAGATTAAAGAGATGGAGACGACAGATATACAACAAATGTGGAGATGTGGAGTGATATCAAACTTTGAGTATTTGATGTACCTTAATGTGAAGAGTGGAAGAAGTGGACTCGACGTTTCACAGTACCCCGTGTTCCCTTGGGTCATTAAAGATAACAAAAGCCAATCCATCGACTTAAGCTCAAAACAGATATACAGAGATCTTGCATATCCCGTTGTCGCACAAGACGAAGAGCGCCGCAAGAAGTTGCAACACAAATTTGCGGAGGTTGGGACGCATTATGGGAACCATTACAGTTCTATAGCAACGCCTTTAGTCTTTCTGTTTCGAGCTGAGCCATACACGTACATGCACATGAAACTCTTCGATGGGCATTTTGACACGGAACGGCTGATCGGCTCGATTGGGAATTTCTATGACAATCTCCAGACAACGCCGATCGAGGCTATACCGGAGTTCTACTACTTGCCACAATTCACGATGAACTTCAATACCATTGACTTTGGGAAAAAGAAAGATAGAAGCACTTTAAAGAACATGGAGCTTCCGGTGTGGTCTAAAAATGACGCGAGAGAGTATATTCGAATTAATATTATGGCACTTGAGTCACCATATTGTAGCGAACATCTGTGCGAATGGATAGACTTGATCTTTGGTTCAAAGCAACGAGGAAAGGCTGCAGAGGAGTTCTGTAATATATTTCCTCCAAGCACTTATGAAGTGGATTATAGTAAAATGGATGAAAAAGAGGTCAAAGTAACTAAAGAGCGTGTGAAGAATTTTGGCGTCTGTCCACTTCAGTTGTTCACTAAGAACCACCCGAAGCGCGACGTAGAGAGAAGTGTCTATTACAGTGGGATATTTGGTAAAGAAGCGATGTATACAATTGACGTTGAAAAGAAAGTCGGTTACAATGTTGGGAACATGCGGTTAGTTAATTCAGAAGTCTTAACAAGTCGGTGGGACGAACTTGTGTTGAGTGAATTTACTGCGCGAGTTTTGAAGGGTGGAGTACTTCGTCTTGAAGAGCAACAGAAGGTGAGATATTACGACGAACTGAGTATAGGGAATATCGTGGTGAGCGACGCACGAATAGTAGTAGTTGGAGGAGAAGGTGGTGAGTTAAGTGTAGTGAAAAGAGAGACAAATGAGACGGGAAGATTACTTGGACATGACAGTGATGTGAGTGTCTGTGTAATAGGGCGAATGAGTAAAATAATAGTGACTGGGGATGTCAATGGGAATTGGTGTATTTATGATAGTTGGACGTTGTTATGTCTCCATAAAGCACAAGAAGGGGAAGGTTTGTTATTATTCTTATTAATATATTTATAGTATTCAATAGTTAATATATATTAATTACTATATTTAATTAATTTAATATTAATGAAATAAATTAATGAGAATAACACTAAGGAATTGTTTCTATATCAATAGACGACCAAATAGGCGACTTTGTTATTGCGACGCGGAACACTGTGATTCATTACGATATTAATGGAGACCAAATTGGAGAATCAATTTGTTTGAGTGGAGTAACGTCTGTAGTCATCACACAAAGTCCCATTTGGACGGATGATATTTTCTGTGCTGTTGGTACATCAAGTGGAGAAATCTCACTGTGGAAATTGGCAGTGTCTAATGTTCGAAAGAATATACTCATTGGGACTATCCCCGTGTTTCCAGCACCTATTAAACAAATCATTTTAGAAACAACGAACTCTGCGTTGCATGTTGCGACATATAACAATGTCATTCTGTGTATTCATTGAATAGTTTTGTATTGTTTGTGTTAGTTGGTAAGCAATGAAAAAGCAGACGAAGTTGAATTTTTCTCTTTTGAGGTATGACTCATAACTTTTGGGGGATTGAAAACTTTAAAGAGGTTTTTGTGTTTTT